AAATGACAAGGTACCCTACTTCTGGTTCTATCCTCTGTCATCAACCCATAAATCCCTTGTGCAGACTTTATCAATGCTAATTAATAATCCCAGTGGAGTCCCAGAATAGATCACTGATAGTATTATAAAGAGGTAGAGTAAATAACTGTGGATACAAAGTAAACAAGAAAGTGTTTAATCATCTATTCTACATGAATGATATCAAACTTTTTGTCAAAAGACGACAATGAGTTGAAGGGTATCCTCAATACTGTAAAATATTTCGGTGATGAGATCGGTATGGATTTCGGATTAAATAAATGTTCAAAAGTAGCATTCAAGAAAGGGAGAATTATAGAAACACACTCAATAGATCTAGATTTTGTCACAAAGATTAAGGAACTGGAACAAAAATAGACATATGTGTCAGCAAAGGAGATGGAATACAGTATATCCAGATGAAGGAGAAAGTAAGAAAAGAATACGACAGGCGTGTGCATTTGGTGTTAAATTCATAAAACAGAATATCAGCCATAAACACTTTGGCTGTCCTTGTAGTGCAATACTGTTTCAACATCCTTAACTGGAACATAGCTGACATTAAACGAATGGATGCCAAAACGAGAAAGCATCATTCTAAAGTTGATATTGATCTGTTAAGATCGGAAGTAGGCAGAGGATTTATTCAACTAGAACTGTTTTACAAAACTACAACAATAGGTCTTAAAAAATACCTGGAAACCACAGAAGACTGGATGATGATCTGTGTCAAAGAACATGAAACTTTAATCAGAAATAAAGGAAGCCAACAAATTCAAAAGGGAATTTCAAGTGGGTGAAGAAATGCAAATAAAGCAAAATGCACACTGCAGCAATAAAAAACCTAAAAAAAAGCAAAAGTAAATGCAATGTACCAAATCCAGAAACGATAGTAAGATAAACCTCTTCATGGTTAATATTCTGCCCGTACCAAACAATATGGCGTAGACTAACCTCGTAACGATAAATGGTTACGTAGTGCAGAGTTAAGAGCTGCTGTACAGGACCAATACTTGCTAATTAAAAATTACCTAACAAACATACTGAAAAATTGTGTTCATCCGAAATACAGATTCTGGGATATATATCCAAAAACAATTGTATTAGTTTACATAGTGTTAGCACCCACTGAATATAAAACTCTGCATGAAAGACTGGGCCAATATCTGCACTGAAAAATATGCAACGTTTATGGGAAGGGAACGGCAAGAAGATGGTACGAACTTTACTCAGAGGCAGTTACAAAAATAGGACCTGTAACAAGTTTATGGAATTTACAATACACACAGACAGAACAATCAAAGGTAATCGCCCTGACATTGTAATCAAAGATCACAAAAACAAAATGTACTTTCTTATTGACGTGGCAGACCATGCAGATTGTAAAGTATCTTTGAAGATTTTCAGAATACTATCAAAATACAAGGATCCTGAAGTGGAAATCTCAGAAATGTTGCACATGAGGATATCAGTGATTCCAGTTATAGTTGGAGCATCCGGACTGATTGGAAAAGGTTTGCGACAGACTCATTGAATAGATTCCAGGTAGCCTATGCCTTAATGAAATACAAAAAAATTGTACTCGTAAGAACAGCTCACACATTACGAAGATTTTTATCCACGTAAAATGTGCGTGACCTTTGTTTTTCTTTTACAAAAATGCTCAGCAGAAGACGTCATGAAGCTATTTCTGACCTTAGGTCTCTGGTTGGGAACCGGAAGGAAACAAGTATACAACAGAAATCAAAGGAAATAATAGTAATAAAAAATATTAATAATCAATCTGGACAGGTGGAAATTACACGAATTGATAACTAAGGATATCTCATGCTTCTTTTTATCTCTCAGCCTTTTTGGTATCTTCTGATTCTCTCATTTATCTTTTCCAATGTTCTCTATCCAGGAATAATTTTAATGACTGCATCTTTTCATTTTCTTCCATTTTTCGTCAAAATGTTTTTATCAAACATGGATGAGTTTAATATTCAGAAAAGGAATGAAGATAGCATAACTAGTTCCGACTGAAACCTTCCTTTTATCTTTCTTTTGTTACACCATCAATTTTGATGTATTGTAATTTTTACACTTTTCCCTCACGACCTGCTTAACCCTACTATAGTGTGCAGACAACAAAATCAGAAACAAAAATGTGCGAAATTAAAAATATAGAATGGCAACAATTTACCGATCGCACCCTGGATAACCTTTCACATTGTTCTCTGCATTTCTCATCTCCTACCTTTTTTCTATCACACCATCTTTTTATCTCTTCTCTTCGACCCCTTTTTTTACAATTCGTTCGCGTTTAATATCATGAAAGCGTCATTCATTCCTGCTAAGAAAGGGACGGAAATTGCGTATGATGCTAAGCAAAAAAAAAAAAAAAGGCGTCAAATCGTGCATACAAACAAGCAGAATTTTTAGATAGACCAAAAAAGATAGATAAATCTTTTGGAGGAAAAAGCCGATTGATAGTGTTTTTTGTTTGTTTCATTTTTTTTTTATTTCTCTATTCGGCAATACAAACTTTTGGATTAAAATCGCTTTAAAACCCTACTAAATATTTATAATGTATAATCATAAATTCTCGTACGATTAGTTTAGTGGTAGCGTTAAAAACGAAGCATCTATGAGAATGATAAAATTCCTTTTTTCTTTCATAAAACGAAGACGAATTGTGGTTCAGACTTTAAGCTTCTTGTCATCAAAATTAACTAAGGAATAGAATGATCAATTAAGAACAATCTCGAAGAAATTTTAACAGGTTGCATCTCTGAAAAGGGAATCTCATATAAACATCATAAACCAAATGCTGAAATTAGGGTTCAAGCAAAAGATTTTTTTAAAATCTGATTCATCTGGGGGGGGGATGCGTTTGGAAAATTTCTTCGTATTTGTCTTTCGACATATTATTAGACTGCAGATCTGAAAGCAGATGATGCATAAACAAAAGACATATTTTTAAATTTCATACATAATATTAAAGGAAATATAATAAAAAAAAATCATTTCAAAATAATATATTCCATATGGCCTATGAGCTGAATGACATATCATGGCGGAACTTAGTTTACCGACTCCCGGAATAAATGTTTTCATCGCCGAATTGAAGATCCAATATTTAAAATGTAATAAACTACATGAATTATATGAGTTGTATCAATTTGAAGATCGATTTGTGTTTTCCTAATTGATTTTGGCTTCAACATTGGAGGAGTTGAGAATTTCTTTCCCTTTTCATGCAATAAAAGGAACATTCCAAGAAAACTCAATGAGTGTGTCGATATACCGATGTACCTAATTATACAGCGCGTCGTATTTAATAGACGGTCACGCACACACACACACATTCACAGAAAGAGAATGAAAACGCTCATGTCTTACACACGTATATGTGCACATGCGCGGAATGTTTAGACTAAAGTGTGCACGTAGAAAATAGAGAGAGCTGTTTTGAGGCCAAATTTAATATTCAGTTTCCTCTGCTTCATTTTTGTGATACTACCGTCAAAAGGAGAAAAAAATCTTTGTATAAATTATATATATATATATATATATATATATATATATATATATATATATATGACTAAATGTATATCCCGTGCATATATGTGTGTATGTGTTTGTGTGTCACTTCAAATGTTACTTTAGTGGATACCCGTAATTGAATAAACGCACCGTATTTTTGAAACTGGGTGTATAACGTCTATCGACCGACATACTCGAGAAAAACTAAATGATGAAAATGTGCTTGTCGTTTAGTTTTCGAACCTGCGTCACCCTTTGTAGAAGAAACCACCATTTTATGTGTCGTTTTTTAGACAGCTCGGTCACAGGGTGCGTCACGGCCCCAGCAAAGTTTTATTTACTTTTGCTAAGGAATGTACTTCCTCTCGTTCAGATTTTCTCCATTTCTTATCCGAAACCAAAAAGAAAGCAATTTCTCAAGATTAATGGGTTTATTTGTAATCCGGCATTTATATTATTTCAAAGGTTATTTCCCTTGGATGTTCGTGTTTGAATAGACGCCTCGTTTTTTTCGAACCCGAGTCCCTCTTTGTAGGAGAAAAAAAAGCAATCTGATTCGGGGTGGTTTAGATAGTTCAGCCACAGAGAGCATCACAGTCCATAAATTCTTTAGAAATTGTTTTGTTTATGTTTCTGATACGAAATCGAGTAAATCTGAGCTTTCGCGGAAAATATATGTCTGAGGAAATATGCCTTCCTTAAAAGGGTAAATAGAACGTTGCGGAGACCGTGACACTTTCTGCGGTCGAGTGGCGTAAGGCACACCAGATAAGATGATTGTTTCTCCTGCTTATTAACTTGAGGAAGCGGTTTCGAGCGCGCCTCGTTGTAAGATGACAAGAGGCTCAGAGTTGGCCTAATGGTTAGCAGCATGGAAAATGGATCTGATAAATCAAGTTCAAATTCCGTTTGAGGTCGTTTCCTTTCTCTTCGTGCTTCTGAATAAAGCATCAAGCTGTTCCTTTCAATAGGTCAGCACATGGATATATTTTTGGTACCAGAAAAAAAACAGTCGCATGTTAATTAGAAAGGAAGAATTGTGTCGCCACTTAGTCGCATTGCTCTGAGATATTCCAGTAAAGACTGAAGATGGCCTCCGCCCGACTGCCTAACAAATGAGGTAATTTGAATATTTTCTATTTACTAAGTTAACCTTGCTACAGTACAAGATCAAAATTATGAGAAATAAGGGAATGAAGATTATGATGCGCCAATCTTCCTAGTAGAAGAGGACTGTCAGTGTATAAAATCAAAATTCGAAATCTATGCTTTTACCTGAACTAGAATGCTAAACTCTAGCATCGCTGGGAAATAGGTTTACTGTTCTAGCCACAAAGTAAACAATGAGTTAATTATTAAGTTAAGTCTGGTACAAGGCTCTGCACCTGAGGCATTCAGTGAGGACAGAATACACGTACAAATTAGCCTGAAGAACTAGTTTGCCAAACCTATAGAAAGCGCTTTTATTCTTTCACATTCTCTTTCCTTTTTCTATTTCTTTGACCTCCTCTCTTTATATCTTCATTGCCTCTTTTTTCATCTGTTTAATCTTTCTTCTTACCCCATTTGTCATCCTCTTTCTTCTTTCAACTCTCCTTTTTTTGGATCTTCTTTGATCTTTTTTTCTCTTTTCACTCTCACTCTCTCTCACTCTACACACTCTCTCTCTCTCTCTCTCTCTCTCTCTCTCTCTCTCTCTAGCTGTTATTTTTCTTTTCTTTCTTGTCGCCTTCTTTAATTTACTTTGCCTCTTTTACCCACCTCTGCCTATTTCTGCGACTCTGTTGTCCTCTTTCCACCATTTTCAACTTAATAACCATCGTCTCCTCAAAGGCGCCATTAACATCCTTCATAGCGACAAAAATGAATGACAAATTACAAAACAGTTGACCAACATGTCAAAAGATAAAAATCTATTTTAAGAAACTATTATTTTTCAGTTGGGGGACAGCAAATTATGCACAATTCATTAATGGCGCACGAAAAGTTGCTGACCGCTAAGAGATGTACAACAGACAAACTAAAAGAGAGATATAAAAAATCATTGTCTTAATTATGCAACAAAAATGTCAAGAGAATAATAATAATAAAGATATATTTAAAGACAAATATGTCCCTTCAAGATGTAAGCGATCATGGCTCCCTAAAAGAGGAAATTGTGGCTTGCCATGACTTAGAAAAATGTAGAGGAATGGTTTGCTTCTGCCTTCTACACACATTTTCGTATTCAGAGTTTTCCTTCTTCTAGACTGGTTGCCAATCAAAACTAAAGAGTCTAGTCCCCCGGGTTACTTAAGCAAACCTGTTGTGGGGAGAGCAGAAGAGGTGGATTCGTGTTTTTACTGAGGGCAATATCTTCGAACGGAATTTGAACTCAGCATGCCAATTCCCATTCTTACGTTAATAACTGTCATACACCAACTGTACAATTCGCTCAAAGGTGTTTCTCTTCATTCCTTGATATGAAAGCTTTGTAATACGCAAAACTCGACAGAAGGATATGGCGACAGGCAAATTCTGTTACACCAATCTTCCAAGAGAGGGGGGGGGAGTCTGGCTTCATCAAACGCTGACCCTTACCGTTTGGTGGAACATGCGGAATTATTTCGCCCACAAAACATATCATTTCAATACTGTTGTTTTTTACTGAAAAAAAGTGGGGATAAATGAGTTTAGGAAGATTGTATTACGCCAAAATTGGGATTTCTTACCTGGACCCGAATACTAACCTCTGGCCACATTGGGAAATGCATAATTTTATCTCGTGATAGTTACTCATTTGTCTTTTTTATTTGATACATTTTTTTTTTAATGTAAAGCCTTCAAAAGCGAAACTTTAAATATTAGCTCCTTGTTATGACTCAGGTTTCTTTCGGTGCAAATACAATAAATCGATAATGATACAGTGAATATGATGAATGTTTTATTTTTATCATTTGTTAAGTAATAAGGAATATCATAAATAAGCAATATCATAAAGGAATAAGGAATGTCATAAATATGTGTTTCCACTTTTGTAAGTTTATCCCAAACTAAGTTAGGTTTAGTAAATAACTTTGTAGCCTGCCTCATTGCGGAGATAGTTACATTTTTCACGCTGGTACCAAAGATCGGTGTTCAATTCCAGGTAAAAGCCTGGATTAAAAATGCTGATTTTCTAGGAATACGGGCTCTGCTCAGGTGATTGAGGAAATGTAGTCGTCTTACGTCCAATTTCACTTGCGTACGGATTTTTAGCTTTTATATTATGCTGAGCTTAGTGCTAGAGGTTGAGGTTCAAATCCATTTACTGTTATCATTGGAAATACAAATTTCCGAGGCAGGCAGTCTCTTTGCAAATCGTAAGATTGTCGTAACACAATCTGCGCACACTTGACAAAAACTTCTTTTATGTGTCGTGTCCCTTCAGGACATAGACAATAATGCCCTTCACCATCTTCCTGTCTCTTGTAGCTTTTAATAAGTTTTGTCTTTTTTGTTATTTTTCCCAAAGCTTGTTCTGCCATCCATTTACTAAAATCTCATCAATACGCGCTGCTTTCTTGCCCCTCTTTCTTTCAGTCTGCCCTGTGGATATCAGATTTTCCAAGCCTTCCTTCCTCATTATGTGCCCCAGAAATTTCAACTGCATTTTCCTGGTGTTAAATATAAGTTTCTTTTTTGTTTCCATTTTCTCTAAAGCCTCGACTTTGTTCACATATTCGGTCCATGGTATCCTCAACAGGCTTTTTGAATTTCATCGAATTTTTTTCTTGATAAAGACTGAAGTAAAATGAAAGTACGGAATATTAACAAGAACTGCGAGCAGTTCCTTTACCACGATACAGAAACTAATCCGGCAACAAGAAAAAAAGCGAAAGAAATGAGATACCGAAGTAAAAAAAATATCAGTTTGCTTAACTTTTACTAAAAATGTATGAGTATTCAACTTGTATCTATCATCATTCAGAACAGTAATGCAAGTTGTCGTATTGATATGAACAGAGTATGAGGAGGAGGAGGAGGAGGAAGAGGAGGGGAGATGCAGACCTGAACGCATGAAATGATCAAAGGTGGACCTATTGAAAAGAAAAAAATAATTGGTGAATAAAATTTCAGAGTTCAGGCGGAGATTTTAGAAGTATAAAGTTGAAGTAGGCCTAAGAAGAAACCGGAAATTCAGTCTTAAACGGGGAACGAAGACTGTTCAAAACCCTGGGGAGAAGTGTGAACCGGACAATAGGGGAACCTGTATATTCTTATTAAGTTTCAAAAATAGGAATAATGAGTTTGGAGAAGACGATGAAAATTATTGAAATGTTTCAAAGAATGAGTCAATGTGAAATCCTTAAGTAGCTTGAAAATATCAAGGTATATAGTCCAAGTATGCCAGAGAAAGCCTATTGACGTTGGGAGTGTTTTGGATATGATAAAAACTGGCAGAGCATCGAAATTAGACAAAAGAGATCAAAGAAAGCGAATGATATGATCAGTATCTTCAATTAATGGATGAAAGCAAACATGGCTACTGAAATGTCAAGTCATACAGTCAGAAGGATGCTACGTAAATGTCATGTATTGCACCAGAAGAGCCGCTATTAATCAACAACATTGAATAAGATAAAAACACTGAGCAAAAGAACATCTACAATGGGATCATTAATAATGGACAAAAGTGATATATCAGCGATGAAAGCAAAAAAAAAAAAAAATGAATCCTAATAAATTCATTGTAGCGAACCGCCGTATATCGAACCTTCGTCTATCATTGATGAGAAATGTTCCACTAGAACAATTTTTTTCAAACGAACTGTTACTTTGTGGAACAGACTCCCAAGGGGATACTTTCCTGATCACTATAATCTTAACATGGTCAATTCTAGTGTTAACCATTGTTTTCTTCACGTAGATCCTGAGCTTTGTACAAGGAGAATATTGTAAAAAAGTGAGGATATGCCCGAAGACCAATTTGTACATGAAACAATCTAAAATATATACAAGAAAGACAATGATATTCTCTGATGGCGCTGTAATGGTTACGAGCTACATTAAAAGAAATGCTACAAGAAATCTGATAAAAATCGATAGAACAGTGAATAGTGAAAAATAGATGACTTTGTTAAAGTCTCATCTGTTACCAGATATAGCAAAAGGTAAAATATTCCTACAAGGGTTTTTTCACTAATGAACCTATTCTTGTGTTACAAGATTCGCCTGTCCAATACACTAACCTTAACATAAGAAGACATATGAAGAGAGATTTGCAAACCATTGGGTTTACTATCAAGAGGAATGATAGAAAACTCCTTAGGAAAAATTTTTTAAATTGAATCCTTCTATCTTACGTCGACTTGTGGCTGTAGTTCGTATGCCAGTTGAGGCCTTTTGCTAAATACTGATTATGGCTTTAAACTCCCTTAAATATGGAAATAAATTTATTAAGTGCAATTTTAGTTTTTCCTCCATCAGTAAAAACAGTTAATTCTGTTTCCTCTCGTAACTCATAACTATTTTCATGATTTATTTTCAGTATCAAGATGGATTCAAGTGTGCATCTTCCTTTGTATTGGGTCGATGTGAAGGCGGCAACTCTGATTTACATTCACTGAATAACAACACAGATATTCTGCTCCTGAAAATATATTTGCACATATTTAAAACTTCAAAATACAAATTAAATATTTTTTTTTTTTGCTGGATGGCTCATTTCTTCTGTTCACCGATGGATATAAAGACAAAACTTGTTTTTTTTTAATTTTTCACACACACACACACACACACACACACACACACACACACAGACACACACACATGCACGCACGCACACGTCGGCTAAGAATAGTTTTTTCTTTTGTCTTTTTATTAATTTTGTTCCTTTAGAGTTACACTATCTATCTATCTCTCTCTCTCTCTCTCTATATATATATATATATATATATATATATATATATATATAAAATAAAAAGGCTTAAACACTAATATTCCATGGTCATAATTTATTCCATTGGAATCGTAAATACGATCCAAATCATCAGACCTACAAATTCAAAATGAAAACAGAAAATGGTTCCGAAATATCACAAACAAGAATAAAGCCACTTTCATCCAATTTGACATCTTGGATTTTTACCCTTCTATTTCGGAGGAACTATTAATCAATAGCCTCAATTTCGCCAAAGGATTTACCAAAATAACGGATAATGATCTGGACATTATTTTAGCGTCTAGAAGATCAATACTTACATACAATGACGCTATTTGGGTAAAAAAGAATAATGGTAATTTCGATGTACCTATGGGTGCCTTTGATTCTGCCCAAATTGCAGATCTGGTGGGCATATATATTCTTGACACCTTGAGTAGAATAGTTGACCTTAACCAAGTCGGAATTTATAGAGATGACGGCTTAATTATTGTCCCAAATAGCAATGGTCCCTTAACTTAAGAAGTTTTTTTTTCTGTTTTCATTTTGAATTTGTAGGTCTGATGATTTGGATCGTATTTACGATTCCAATGGAATAAATTATGACCATGGAATATTATTGTTTAAGCCTTTTTATTATATCCTTACTCTGTCCTAGACATCGAGTTCTACCTGGATCCTTCCTCTTGGAAATTTTTTTTTTTTTTCTGAAAATATACATGTATGGGAATATTTTATATATATTTTGCATATGTATGTATATTTTCCACTAATATTATCTATATATATATATATATATTTAAAATCAAACTCAGCGTTGCTACTGCACGCTCCAA